AATGTTATACATAAGTAATAGTGTATTAATTTAATTAAAAAGATTCTATCCTCAAGAGCAATAATTCCTGTAAACACTTAGATATAAACCTAATGAACTATATTCAAAACTCCTGTTTGAATAATTATAACACATAATTGAAAGCCATATGAAGAAGTAAATAAATGGAAAGATATGTCACATCCATGAATAGGAAGACTCAAGATATGAAGATTGCCATTGTTCCCAGTTTGATCTATACATGCAAATTAATCCCTATCATAATCATAATGCAAACTAGGCCTCTTGTGTGTTTTGTGCACACCTGTGTTTATGTGTGTGTGTGAGTGCACACATGCCCTATTAGATAAACTTTTACTAAAAACTAGCTCCCCACTGACCTCTTTCTGTTTTCCAAATTACTACTAGCATGATTATCATTACAAAACACAAATATGCCTGTTTTGCTTAAAATTCTTCACTAACCCATCAAAATGTTCAAGGCAAAATTTTAAATCCGGACAAAACACAGTGAGCCTCCATGGTATGACCCAGACCTCTCTTTGCTCTTTTACTTATCTTTCTCTACATGTAACCACAGCTCTGGAGGCCCACACATGGTGATGTAATATATGTGGTGTCTTGAATACAGGCTTTACTGCTAGAGACATTTGGGTCTAGTCTGGAAGTGTTTTGGTGGGAGAATTTGGGTGTTGTTTCTGGCAGCATACTATGCAAGTTCAAATCTCTGATCCTGTATAAATGTAGCATAACTTGCTAAATCATATTCTGATATTTGCAATTAAAATCTAAGCAACTTGGTGATACTCCTCAATTGACTCCCTAAATAATGATTTAAGCATCTGCCAAATCTTGTAACATCTACCCAAGGGTAAGCTTAAAAATTGGGTGGTGGTGTGGGGGTGGTTGTATTGTATAAGTGAGGAGGTTCTTTTCAAAACCGTAAATGGAAAGTTAGGACTAGAGCATTCTTAGAGAAGGCATGGCATAAGTGCTCAGAGGCAAAAGCCTTGGCTCACAGTGACCCTATAGGACAAACTGTCCTATAGCATTTCCAAGACTGTAATCTTTACAGATGCAGACTGCCACATCATTCTACCTCTGAGCAGTGGGTTCAAACCACTAACATTTTGGTAAGCAGCTAAGTGCTTAACCACTGCACCACCAGGGCTTCCACACAGAGATAGTTAAATACAGTATTACTAAAACAAAACCTGAGATAGAAGAGACATTATAATTTAAGCGGAAAAGGGATGATAGAACTAAAAAAAAAAAAAAAAAAGAGAGAGAGAGAAAAGGAAATTTGACCAAGAAATAAATACAATACATGATATTTCCTAGAAGTCAAAGGAAGAACAGCATTTTGGTCTCTTGACCTTCTGCTCCATTTTACAGGTTTAATCAGTATGCTACTGGGTTCTGAAACAGATGTGATGGAAGTCAGAAAAAGATATAACAAAGAGGTTGGTCTGAAATGATTCTGAAATCCAATTACTAATCAAAAAGGGGGGAGGCTCACCACAATATTTGATAAAACATATTTTGTCATTTAAACTTAAAACTTAAAAAGATTCAGCTTTTCCCTTTCATTACCTCTTTGTATAAAAGGGTTGGCAAAAATATTTAGAATACAATTTCAAATGCCTTCATCAGATTCATGCTCTAAATTATTTTAACAACCAGAAATATTAGAATTGGATAACGTTTATTCATTGCACTAGTGAGAAACTTTAAGGAGTATAAATATAGAGGAATTAGGAAACATACTACTGTTATCCTCTCCTTGCAAATACAAGAGCTGCATACCTGCACTCAAGAGAGTGAATTGGTAGTTCCCAGGGCAACTGGTATGCCTGAGAACATCAGTACTTATTTTCTTATATCCTAAAAATGGCTTAGAGAATTACCTATGAAAGCGAAATGTGAATTTTAAAAAAAGGATAAAAAATAAATCACTGACATAATTTTGATACCTATATTTAAGAATTAAATCTCATATTTAGGATCTAGGACCATTTCAACTGCTGCTCTCTCATTCATTGTTTGTGGGCTAAGTCCAATGCATAATATGAATTCCAAACATCATGCACCTTAGTGTTGGGGACAAAGGATCAGTGCATACAACTCTGAAGTTTGTGTGGATTTCATGTGATTGTTACATCTACTACTCGGGTGAGCCACATGGCTTCACAGATGTATTAACCACGTGCCACCCTCTATCTTGTCATTCCCCCCCCACACACACACATATCTCCATTCACAGCATAAATCAGAAAATGGAAGTGATATCATCTGCTGTTTTCCAAACTGTAATGAAAGGAAAATGTCAACACATTTTGGAATATTGGTAAATAATGATACTTACACAGCACACACTTCTTGTGCCATTACAAGAAACCCTTAACTTTCAGTTGCTTTTATCTCATATTATTTTATGTTCCCATTCATTTTAAAGTAAATATGTAGAATTAATATTATGATCATTTTGTAAGTGGAAATACTATGGCATGGGCTGATTAAGGGTCATGATACATGTCTCAAACTAGCTTTCTGGATTTAAGACTGAAAACGAAGTTTGTTACCTCTTTATTCTATGCTTTTCCCATTGGCTTAAAGTCTACAGAGTGAGGGCTTTAACTTAACTTTTTGACACCTGCCATCTTATCCACCCCTTACACTTAATATCTGGTGTATTTTGTGTTTTCTTCCAGGTACCATTACAACTACACAAAATTTCCATGTTCACTTATTTTAGGCCTATTTTATTTTAATCTAATAAACATATTACTCCTGGATCTTAAGAGCCACCCAAGGATAGAATAATAATTTATTGCCACATTGCAATCTGAAGTAGTGAATATAATTGTTGTTACTCACTGTCTGTGCCATGCCAGCTAGACTATCTGAACTTTTAATTGATTTACTACCTCCTGCATAATTTTGCTAGCAAATTAGCAATTTACTGTCATTCAGTCATTTTATTATTTTTTTTTCTAGTGTAAAAAGATAACTAAACAAGTTTATTTGAAATTTACAATCACCAATGAATCATATTCAAAGACACATGAAACAGATTATTCTCTTCTATTATTTCCTTGAAAAACTCCTTTGACCAACCAGGCCTGTAGGAAAAGATACCTTTTGAAATTTTGCATATGATTCAGGTTTAGGAATAACATTCAAGAGAGCTTTAAACTGAACTTCCACATGAAGGAAATAGGTCAACTCCAGTACCAAACCAAAGACTTTAGAGTGATGTGTTCCAACCTCAAAAGAATTTATTGGCTATGTTTTCTTAGAGTAAATTTCATAGCATAGGAGGGCCAAGGTTTTCTGAGTTGATTTTTAAATCCTTTTATTCCATGATATAAACAGTAAGAAAAAGGAGAAACATCCTTCTATTTAACTTAAAGCTAAAACAACATACAAACAAGATCAGTGTATATGGCAGAGTGCAAGAGCCTTGAGATTATAAAAGAGAAAGATACAAAAATTAAAAAAAAAAAAAAAAAGCCAGTTGTCATAATAGGCTGCCTTACAATGGAAATAAATTAAAAAACTCTTATAGGTGGAGGAAGCACTTACATAATCACTTGAGTGTACTTGATTTTGAATGATCTCATGATAAAGGTCCCGAAGAGCCCACAAATACACCACAAAGGAGTCACTTTACACCAAGATTCATGAGTAGCAACTGTTTCTTAAAAGAAAACAAATTTCTGTCCAGGGAATTTGAACCACTCCAAAGGATTTAATGACTTGCAGGGGTTTGTAGGTCAGTCACATCTGTTCTGAAATGAAATGCTTCTTCCTGTTTCTAAATTGAATAACCCTTAACCCCATTAGCCCTCTTGTCTTAAAACAAAGATTATTCCTGTTTCATTAGCTGTGCAATAGTCAGGGTCTTTATGTTTATTCCAGCACATGGAATTCATCACAGTTTTATTCTTCTCTTCTGGTCAGCAAAAAGTAGGAAGAGCCAAAAGAAGACAAGAACTAAAATTTGCTTTGGTTTAAGGATCTGTTTGATATGTCTTGTCCATGTGGACGCTTGTGGAAAATAAGCATATCTAAATAGGCAGCACCTTTTCAGAGTGGAGAGTTCCCTGTGTTTTCTTTTCTTCAAGAGCTATCATTAAATTTCTATTGTTCTGTTGTCTGACTTTTCTCTGCATGAAATGAAAGAGTGCCACTCTAGCAGATGCGTGGTCTCCAGCTATTGCAGAGACTAGTGTAATAAGCCCCCAACTGAAGCTTCTGGTGTTTTATGCTTAAACTACATCAAAACAGAGGGAGGGATTTTTCACAAAGCTTTATTTACAAATGAAACAAGCAGTTTGCAAACTTCTGAAAAGAAAGAGTGAAATGAAAAAAACAAACAAACAAAAAAAAACCCAAGCCCACTGCCATAGAGTCAATCCCAACTCGTAGGAACCCTATAGGATTGGGTAGAACTGCCCCATAGGGTTTCCAATGACTTAAATCTTTATGAAAGCAGATGGCCTCATCTTTCACCAGCCCAGTGAGTTTGAACTACCATCTTTTTTGGTTCCTGTTCAATGCTTTTAACCACTAGCCACCAGAGCTCTGAGTGAAATGAGGGCTGTGCAAAATGCAAAATAAGGACAGGAGAGACCGAACAGGTGGGAGATTTCACCAATTTCATTAACAGATTGCAGAGAGCCTCCTTCTATTAAGGAAGAAAAAGCTTCTCTATGCTGAAAGAGTGAGCCGCAGCCTGTGCTATGCTATGTTCCCTGACTGCTAACCAGAAGGCTGGTGGTTCAAACCCACCAGCCACTCCTCGGAAGGAAGATTGGGCAATCTACTTCCATAGTGATACGGCCTTGGAAACCCAAGAAGGGGTCTCTACGAGTCGAATAGACTCGATGGCAGTGAGTTTGGTTTGGTAGATATCCTTCTCTTTTGCCCAGATAACAAAACGAGAGAGTGAGGAAGAAACAAGCCCCGGCACCATTTTTCTGTGCTCCAGATCTCACCTGTGAGTAGACTAGGTTTTGCCACTGTTGTGCAGCAGGATAATTTCCACCTGGAAACCTCACCAGGCTGGCCTGAAGAAGTGCTGAGCTTCTCATTAAAGACTTCACTTCTAGCTGCAGGAATTTGTCAGGATGGTTATTGTTTGGCAAAACAGAGAGATCCATGCCTCCCCTTCATCTATGGTGGAAAACAAAGGTCTGCAAGGCTGCTCCTGCTAGACTTGTCCATTATTAATGAGCTTGAGGATGCTCCAACTGGCATCTGAAACCAAGTCTGCCAGCTGCAGTCTAAGTCCACCGGACACCACTTTCAAAATGACACATCAGCATATGGAACCAAGCAGCACCTTTCTCTACCTCCCTCCTGCCACACACACCTTTAAAGTGCTCTAAATGGATAGATGAGTTGTACTCATTAAAATTTACAGCTTGCTAAAAACTAGATACCTGTAGCACTTAACATTTCTTCATACAGAGCCAGAAACAACAGTTGAGGGGACATTATTTTTTGGATAAAGGGTGCCCAAATCTAGTGTCACTGTTCATCGTGGGGAGCATAAGAAATCAAGCCACCTGTAGAGACAGTACTTTATTTTACTCTCTGTATATTTCTGAGCCAGCACAGCTGACTTGGCCCTGCTAACACAGCCTCACATGTGATATGCAGGATCTTGTTTCTTCTAATGTTCTGACTCCCACGGTCTCAAGATAATGTGAAAAGTAACTTTGTTTAGGTTGTCAGTTTTTGTTCTGAGTGGTGAACTGGGAAGAATTTGCTTTATAGTTTGCTATCATTATCTGGTTCCCTAACCTACTGTCTTGACCCATTCATTATCTGAGGTCCCTTTGACTCTCTTCCTAGCTCTATAAACTCCTATAATGTGTTTTACTGTTCACACAGTATGCTTGGAAGCAAAGGGGAACATGGCTGCTGGGTTTGGATGACACACTGTTCTAAGTAAACCCATCTGCTGTTGAAAGAGCCAAGGTGAGAGTGAGGCTGTGGACAGTGTAGCAAGCCAGGAAGTGATGATGACCCTAATGGAGATGCTTTCTCAAAGTGTGCTTTGGGTGATCCACACTTTCTTCAAATGGGTTTCCATTTGGAGGAAGAGGAAGAGGAAACTGTCCCACTTGTGCTAGGTACATCATCAGCTTTTCAAAGACATGGGTTGTCTCTAACTTTTGCATTTCTAGAAAGCTTTCTGATTCAGCAGGGAGGTTTCTCTTCCAGGGGCAAAAGGGGTTACATGTGGAATGTATCAGCACCAGATTTCAGAAGAGTGCCATACAGCTTATAAGAATGAGCAGCCAAAATGTTCCTGAATCAAGCAAGACACCAGAGAGTACTTACCTTCTTTATAGAAACAAGCATGAGTGTGTGTTTAAAAAAAAAAAAAAAAAAATCCTTCCTATTTATAGGTGTAAAAGTGGATTAAACAGTTAAATTTTTCTATAAGAAGTTTTTTGAATCCAAACTTTATCACTGTTACAGTATTTGAAATCTATTTGGGTCATTTTTAATACATTTATTAAGGAAAGTAAGAGATAATAATGACAGTTAATAACAAAACATTAAACCACAAGTGTTTCAAAAATCAAGTATGTGATGTGTATGTGCTTGGTACATTCTGGGTTTTTCTGGTTGCTGCCAGAATGTGTCTAATGAACAAAAATATTTCTCAGACTATTTGCTTTTCCTAAATGCTTCTTCAGGGAATAACACACATCTTCAAGAACCTTACATGTCTTTGGCTCTTTATACTGGCAAGTGAAGACACAGAACCTACATCCAAATATATTTGATTAGGCTTTTTCTTAGCCAAAGTATGAGGTAGGCAGAATGACTCTTCAGTATTCCTTAAGCATTCTTCCTTTAGACTCCACCATGCTCTATATGCCCAGAGGATTGTATACTGCCTCTTTCTGTTTACAAATCTGGAAGTCTCCATTTTCTACCACCTTTGTCTACTTCAACCCAAAACATCAGTCCTTATTTTTTCTTATACTCCATGTAGGTAAACTATATGATTGACAGTCAGGAAATCAAGTTTATCCCCCATCCCTCCACTACTGTTCCTTACTCTTACCCCTTCAACACACCAAACTTGACCTTCTACCTGGAAACATTCTTGTTTTCCCATCTTTGGGTATTGACCATCTCCTTCATCAATCATCTCTGACACCTAGCTTTCCATATTTTCTTTACTAGATAGGATTTTTTCTCTTGTTTGAAATCTTAAAATTGTATGTATACCCCATCTTACAATATTTGTTTAATCATATATTCCTACTTCTTTTCTCTTAAGAGTCCCTACACTAGATGATGAATGACAAAGGAGTAGCCCTAGTGGATAGGCCCTTCCCCACATGAATCATGTCTAAATGCTTTAACGTAGCCCCTGCTCAATAAGTAATGACTGTTACTGACTTTTCCAGTCTCTTAGAACTTTACTGTAGTATGTAATTGATAATTCAATCAAATTAAGCAGAAAATGGTTTAGCGTTCTGTCTTATAACTTGTGTTCCAACATGATCAGTGAAATAAAGATTTTTTTTTTGTCAAAACTGTTTACGACATACTGCATATTCTTTTCTAGTAGTTTACACTCATATCAAAGCTCTGACATGTTCTGCTTTGTTAAAACCAGCATTCTCCAAATCTATTTGATTACATAATACTCATTCTATTCTTTGCAAATGAACCTTCAAGACTTACATTACTTGAGAATAATTGTAAAAATATTGGCTTAGGGTTTCTATTCCTTCATTGTCATTAATACTTTCATTCAATTGTAACAAAAGCATATAACTAAATAAAAGTAGTTATGTAGGAGTGGTGATCTGATGAAAGAAGGGCTGTGGATATCTGGACACTGTCAAATGTTATCATACAGATACTGTTTTGGTCTTTCTTTAAAGATAATTCAAAAGTATCATTTCCCCATGGATTTGCTCCCAGAATTATTGTTTTCTGAACCATGAGAATTGGCAAAATAGAATTAAATACATGCTCACTAGGCAAATTATCTAGATATTAATTTACCTTCTTTTCTTCTTTTTCTACTCCTCCCTTCCTCTAAATTTCTCTTTTTCTCTCTTAATGTTGCACTAATAAGAAAGTGGGATATCTGAAAGTATTTCCAGCTGAAAAAGCCTGTGTAATGTCCAGATGAACAGTTGGGGTTCATCAAATTATCTGAAATAGCTTGAAAATTAGTTGGATAGTTTTGATTATAAGCAAGTCTATAATTAGGTTACAAATTCTTTTGCATCTATTACAAAATATTTCCAAATTGGTGAATGAGGGAGGCAATCAAGGTAATTCAGTACATAAGACTTTAACTCAGAGGGACTCTATTAGTTCTAACTAATTTGTGTTTGTATCAAATGACACAGGAAGCATTCTTCTTTGAAGGAAGTTGGAAAGAATACACAGTCACTGTACCAAAAAAAAAAAAAAAAAAGAAGTCAGTGATCAACCATTTCAGTTGAAGATTGATGGTACTGAAGAAAGAAGGCCAAGCTGCATGGAAGGAACTGGTGAAAAACAAGTCTTCAGGAATCTACAGAATACCCCTTAAGATGTTTCAGCAAATGGATGCAACGAAGGAAATGTTCACTCATCTATGCCAGGAAATTTGGAAGACTACGACCTGACCAACCAACTGGAAGAGAATGATATCTCTGCCAATTCCAAAGAAAGGTGATCCAATAGAACACACAAATTTTCAAACAATATCATTAATATCATACACAAGTAATATTTTGCTGAAGATAATTAAAAAATGGTGGCAAGCTGTACATTGACAGGGAACTGTGAAAAATTCAAGCCAGATTCAGAAGAAGATGTGAATGAGGGACACACCTGCTGATGTCAAACAGATCTTGGCTGAAGGAAGAGAACATCAGAAATATGTTTACCTGTGTTTTATTGATTATGCAAAGGCATTCAACTGTGTGGATCATAACAAATTATGGATAACTATGCAAAGAATAGGAATTCCAGAACACTTAGTTATGATCATGAGAAAACTGTAAATACAACAAGAGATTGCCATTTGTACAGAACAAGACAATACTGCATGGTTTAAAATTAGGAAGAGTGTGCATCAAGGTTGTCTCTTTTCACCATACTTATTCATTCTGAACGATGGGCAAATAAACTGAAAAGGTGGACTATATGAAGAAGAAATTGTCATCAGGATTGGAGGAAAGCTCATTAACAACCTGAGCTATGCAGATGAAACAACTTTGCTTACTGAAAGTGAAAAGTACTTGAAGTGGTTACTGAAGATCAAAGACTGTGGTCAGGTGCCATCGAGTAGTTTCTGACTCATAGCAACCCCACCCACAGCAGAACAAAACACTGCCCAATCCTGCACCAGCTCTGTGATCCTTGCTATACTTGAGCCCATCGTCACAGCCACTGTATCCATCCATCTCATTGAAAGCCTTCCGCTCTTTGGCAACCCTCCACCTTACCAAGCATGACATCTTCTCCAGGGAATAGTCCCCTCTGATAACATGACCAAACTAGGTGAGACGCTTCCAAGGAGCATTTCGGCTGTACTTCCTCCAGGACAGATTTGTTAGTTCTTTTAGCAGTCCATGGTACTTTCAGCATTCTTTGCCAGCACCACAACTCAAAAGCATCAACTCTTCTTCAGTCTTCTTTATTCATTGTCCAGATCTCAGATGCATATGAGGTGATTGAAAATATTATGGCTTGTCTCAGGTGCACCTTAGTTGTCAAGGAGCCATCCTTCCTCCTCAGCACTTCAAAGAGTTCCTTCATGGATGACTTGCCCAGTGCTATGCATGATCTAATGTCCTGACTACTGCTTCCATTGACATCGATTGTAGAACTAAGCAATGTGAATTCTTTGAAAATCTCATTTTTTTCTCCATTTATCATGATGTTGCTTATTAGTCCAGTTGTGAGGATTTTTGTTTTCTTTATATTGAGATGTAATCCATACTGCAGACTATATTCTTCAATCTTCATCAGTAAGTGCCTCAAAGATTACAGCTTTCCGTATGGGTTATATCTCAATATAAAGAAAACAAAATCTTCACAACTGGACCAATAAGCAACATCATGATAAATGGAAAAATATTGACCTTGTCAAGGATTTCATTTTATTGGGACCTATAGTCAACGC